GTTACAGTGCAGTCTAAGATATGAATAGTTCAATTAAAAGCAGCCACAAAAAGAAAAGTCTTCAGCCTGGATTTAAAAGTAGTCAGAGTTGTAGCGGACCTGCAGGTTTCTGGGAGTTTGTTCCAGATATTTGGAGCATAATAACTGAACGCTGCTTCTCCATGTTTAGTTCTGACTCTGGGGACAGAAAGCTGACCAGTCCCTGAAGACCTGAGAGATCTGGATGGTTCATCATTTAGCAGGAGGTCAGAAATGTATTTTGGGCCTAAACCATTCAGTGCTTATAAACCAGCAGCAGTATTTTGAAATCTATTCTTTGACACACAGGAAGCCAGTGTAAAGACTTCAGAACTGGAGTGATGTGATCCACTTTCTTAGTGTTAGTGAGGACTCGAGCAGCAGCGTTCTGAATTAGCTGCAGCTTTCTAATAGATTTTTTAGTGAGACCTGTGAAGACACCATTGCAGTAGTCGAGTCTACTGAAGATAAAAGCATGGACAAGTTTTTCCAAATCCTGCTGTGACATTAGTCTTTTAATCCTAGATATATTCTTTAGGTGATAGTAGGCTGATTTAGTAACTGTTTTAATGTGACTGTTGAAACTCAGGTCAGAGTCCATGACTACACCTAGATTTCTGGCTTTATCTGTTGTTTTGAACATTGCAGACTGAAGCTCAGCGCTCACTTTTATACGTTCTGACTTGGCTCCAAAAACCATTACCTCAGTTTTATCTTTGTTTAATTGGAGAAAGTTCTAGTTAACACTTCAACACAAATCAGAGCTTGCCATGTCACTATGAGTACGCCTCTCGTTCCCCAGCATCATCTCGTTTGTATGTGGAAATATTGACCATCTGCCGATAATCTAGTATAGGATGTCTAGGATTTGTTGAGGCTTTGCATGTATATTCTGGTAGCTGTCCCCAACTGTCTCCATGGTACAGTACATGGTATACAATGTTGTCCTTCAGCACCTGTTCTGTTTGTCTGTAGACATGCTAAACAAAATGACTAATGGAAAGCATATGATGGCATTATTATACAAATACCACAGGTTCTCCGAGTAGAGCTGATGATGTGATTAGATTTTGAAGCACCTTGATGCATAACATTTGCATAATTTTAGGAGATGGATGATGGCAGCCTTGGTGGAAAGGGATTTTTTTTGGAAGCTTTGAACACGTGATGTCATTATATTAGTGTCTTATAGAATACAATAGCAAAAGATGGTGCTATTCATTGATGTTATCGCAGTCAGCTCCCGGTCAAGATTCCTTCACTATTCATCGTTCGTAAGGTTTTAAACGGAAGCAGACTATTCTGCAGAGGTCTCTCAGAGGGCTGCCCTTAACATTTGTTTGCATGTTTCTCTGATAACTTAACATCCAGACATCTAATGGCTAAGATCCTTCATTAGAACTACATATAGTTAAAAATGTCCAAAATCTAAATGGTTTATTGTAGAGATTTGGATAAAAAGTAAATGTATTGCAGCTTCTGGTAGAAAAACCACAATGGTAATTCATAAAGAAAGGGGATACATCACACTAACAAATGACCAGATGAAACAGACCATTAACTCTTAAAAACATACGTACAGTATGCCTCAGAGTTTGAATACTGTCGGAGACATTTGGTGTAATGTAAGTACAAAGTTCAACAGATCAAGTCAATTGTAGACATTTTAATGCGGAAATATTACTTTGAAAAGTACAACATCCAACATTGATTGATCGATTGTGTGAATTCTGAGGCCGGGAACACTCGTTCATGCGTGGCATTCCAGACTTTTCTTTCAGTAGAAATGCAACAAAGCCAGAGGCCGAGAGAAATAGAAGGCCTGAGACAGGAGGAGAGACAGAGACAGAGGGAGGCTCGTAGCCGGAGAGCCTCACTCCTTCCTGTCACTGTGCCAGAACAATTCGCCCCGTTACTGATCCATGCCCACAGAGTCTACAGGTCAGCTGTGACAGCTTCATGGTGTTTGTGTGTGTTTGTGTCTTATGCGGGCGTGGGTGTGTACATCAAGTGCATCTGCATTCTGTCTCCCATGATGTCAGCAGCTGTCAGTCTTCATCTCCTGATGCAGAGAGGGTGTGTGTGTGTGTGTGTGTGGTGTGTGTGTGTGTGTGTGTGTGTGTGTGTGTGTGTGTGTGTGTGTGTGTGTGTGTGTGTGTGTGTGTGTGTGTGTGTGTGTGTGTGTGTGTGTGTGTGTGTGTGTGTGTGTGTGTGTGTGTGTGTGTGTGTGTGTGTGTGTGTGTGTGTGTGTGTGTGTGTGTGTGTGTGTGTGTGTGTGTGTGTTGTGTGTGTGTGTGTGTGTGTGTGTGTGTGTGTGTGTGTGTGTGTGTGTGTGTGTGTGTGTGTGTGTGTGTGTGTGTGTGTGTGTGTGTGTCATTCCCCACTAATGAAATGAGATTCAGGTAGCGAAGGGCACCATGGGGTTAGAGATGAACGAGAGCAATATGTTGCCACAGCAACAGTCGATGAGACTTCCACGAGAGAGAAGCAAGTGGAGGATAAGCAGTTGCCATAGCGACTCGCCATTGCAGCTGCCTGTACATTTCTCCCTCCCTCCCGATGCACTGGTTTCAGCTTTTTGTTTGTGTGTGTGTGTGTGTGTGTGTGTGTGTGTGTGTGTGTGTGTGTGTGTGTGTGTGTGTGTGTGTGTGTGTGTGTGTGTGTGATACCCTGAGTCACTGGAATATCAGTGTTTGTGTACCATGTGAAACATGTGATGCACGTTTCAGCAGGTATTACACATTTGTGTGTGTGAGCAGGTTACTCAGGGAGCCAGACATCCTCTCATCTCTCTTCCCTTCTAACAGATGCTGTAGTGGTTATTTATGTGTTTGTTCTGCACTACTGCTATTTCATATCCCCAGGCCACACACACACACACACACACACACACACACACACACACACACACACACACACACACACACACACACACACACACACACACACACACACAGAGGACTGTCACTGTGCCACGGTTCTAAGACTTGTGAGCCATATGCTACAGCGAGGCCCCTGGCAGGCAGGAGTATTGTTGCTCTCTGTCAGCTGGGGACTGGTTCAAAGGCCAACGAGGGCCCATCGGGGACCATGAACACAGCGCAGTGGTACCAGCCGTATGTTATAGCATCTGACATTGACATTCACTTGATATTTCCTGCATGCATTTTTGAAGAATGTTGCTGGAATTTGTCATCATTTAGCAATTCCATTTAACGAATCACTCCCTATCTAATAAGCAGAATAACACCATTAGATCAAGGACATAACAGATGACAATCAAGCCAATTCTAAGTGAAATCAAATGTTGTTTTAAGATAAATAACAATCTGAGACTCACTTTTGGATAAAACTTTGTGAGTCTATATCAGCATGTCATGGTTGTCGGCCAATGTCTGCTCCGGCCTGTGAACAAAACATTTCAGCCAATGAAATTGCGCTTTAGTTATGCATCGTGAAGCATTGATTTAGTGGGTGCAACAAGTGTGTCTGCAATGTGGAGGTCTATAATTGCACGATAAAACCTACAACGATCTTAAAATAAGTCAAAATGACTCGCACAAATAAAACAGAAAGAAGGATATAGCCCCTTCAGTCTTTCAGCATCATTAATAAGATAATAGGCTGCCTATATTTTGTTCACTTTGCCCGGGCACAATGTTTATTCTGCTAAAGGAGAAACGTAATTCTCTGCAACAAAAAAAGAAATGCATTAATCAGCCAAAATGACCCATGATATAGTCATCATCATCATCAGTACTTGCTAGAGAGTTTCTCAATAAAACCAACCCTAAACTTTGTGTTCTAATGATAGAAGTGACTTTCACATAAAACCTTTTAGTTATCTTTCCATTTTTGAACCTCAAGGTAGGATCCTTTTGCCAAAAGCGATGGCATCCAAGAAAACAGTTCTCTAGAGATTCCCCACAGGGTAATTGACCTAGAAAAAAGGTTGCTATTACTGTGTCTTCAGCTCAGGGTAAGTTACCATTTGCATTTTTGGGAGTTCCAATGTGCAAAAATAAAATGAGGAAATTATGTAAATTCATAGCAGACAAGATACATGAGGAGCCGATGGCCTTTTGTTATCTGTCGGTTTCACAGAATGTTCTTCAGGCTCTCCTTCTTCCTCCCTAATAACGCTCCTCGTGACATATTGACGCTGATATTGTGTACCTGTATATTGCGCTTGTTGGGGCCAGAAGCGTTTGCCCTCACATTTAGACCAATTTGTTTTTGTTGTACACAAGCTACCTGTCTTAATATATGCACAGCTCTCCACTTTTCAGAACAATTTCGCACATATGAGTATTTTGTCATAGTATACTGTACATAGGTTTTTGGTATATCTATATTTCATGTAAATCATTTTCTATATCTTAATGTTATAATAGTTTTGTTATAATAGTTAACATTTTCTGGTTGTTTTCCTTACATTTGATCTTCTTTAACTGTGTATATGTATGCGCCATATATACCAAGGGAAATTCCTTGTATTTGTTCTTGGCAATGAACGTGTTTCTGATTCTGATTTCTGATCAGCTACAACTCATTACCCATGTTTGTGCTTTATTAACACCTCGAATCCATCGCACATTTCTCCTTGTTCGAGTGATTTGGTCAGCCCTAGCTTCAGTGTACAATAAAGACTGTCAGAGGCTTGATAGACAGGTTAAGCTGCAATATGCTACACCACCCGGTGCTTTTCTTCCAGCATTATTGCTTTAATCACCAGGAAACATTTGATGAGATCACTCTTGTTATTGCTGGAATCGGTGCTTGGAATCTAAATGACCTTGAGCTCCCTTTTTATTAAGAGCTGACATCCAGCTGCAGGGAGTTGCTCAGACATAAACATTTATTTTCATCCCGCCGAGCAATTTTCAGTTTATTGAGTATATTATAGTCTAACACAATATGTGATCAAAAAGAATATGAGAAGAGTAAATACACTTATTGACTTGTTGTTTTCTCCTGTTTAGATATTCGTGACCGCAGGAAGAAGCCGGTGATGCTGTTTATCCACGGAGGCTCCTACATGGAAGGCACCGGAAACATGTTTGACGCCAGCGTCCTGGCCGCCTACGGCAACGTCATCGTGGTCACCATGAACTACCGACTGGGCGTGCTCGGTAAGTGTTTGGAAATCAAAACCGCACATCTTCTCATTTTCCCTTTGCACTCAATCATCCGCGCACACATGCAAGTCGATTTCTCCTCCGCAGACCCTTCGTGATTAGTGGTTGATGGATGGCATAAATAGAATTCATCAATCTAATGACAAGCCGTGCCGCCGTTGATCATGAGCGCTCACTCTCCTATGGATTTCTTTTGTTGATTATTCCAGTCTCAACACTCTGATTATGTAATTATGCGCTTTCTTTGAATGCTGCATGAAAGCGCTGCAAACCGTCACATTTAAACCCCCCCCCCCCCTCGCACTAAAAAAGCACTGTATTCATCTGTCACTTAGATCCTCGCACAAAAAAACAGTACTTCTTGAGTTTAGTTTAGAAGAGGCATTTAATATGTTGGACACGTTTTGTCACTACAGTTTTTGAAGATCTTATCAGATTGTTGTCTTTGTCGTTAAAACTATTTATTTTCAAAGATGATCAAGTTAAAGGGGCCCTATTATGCTCATCTTCAGAACTCAGAATTGTATTTTGTGTCTCTACTGGGACATGTCTCCATGCTGTAATATTCAGAAAGCTCTTTATTTTTCTCACACTGCCTGTGCTGCAGCATCTCTTTTCACCCAGTCTGCTCTGATTGGTTAGCTGGCCGGCTCTGTTGTGATTGGTCAACCACTTAGAGATGTCCCGCCCCTTAGTCTATCACGTACAATGTGTTGGAGAGCTAGCCGCAAGTGTTACATAGTGATGTCACTATTTTACAGAAGTAAACAAAGGACTACAATGGAGGCCTTTCAGGCAGGGGGGGTGGGAGAGAAACTCCCTCTCAGGGAACACATGGATGTTATCCTTTGCAGACCATTTACATGCACGCAAACCTCTATAACACAGTACAGGAAAGGGAAAAGCCCAAAAATCCTAATAGGGCCTCTTTAAAAAAAGAAAAATGAATGAAATGCTCTAGTTGGAAGATAAATGACAGGAACATTTGTTTGAGTAAAGACAAAGACTCAACATTGTCTATATTTTTATGGATTTATAGTTGTTTTATACATCAAGTAAATCCATCCTTTTCCAATTTACAAGATAAAGGTCACATGATGAAATCTACTTGTTACAAGCAGGGAGAGTTCTGTTTGTCTATTTATCTGTCAGGTCAACATGCAAATATTTACAGCCTTACACTTAAAATATATTTATGGTCTTGTTTATTCTGCCACTGAGTCCTGCATGTTTCTGACTTTGCCAGTAACTCTACTGGAAAGGCCTTTATGAGGAGGAACGCAGAGACAGCCACAAGCATGCAAATCAGATACAGATCTGGCATTTTTACTGACCCAGAACCTCACGATTCTTCATTTTAACTGCACGCCCTCATCTGCCGCCTCGCCTCCAACCTCTCCAGCTCTATTTCCAAAGCTGTATAATTCATTCCACAAAGAGCGAGGATTGTAAAAATGCCTTTACAGAGTGTTTTGCTTGAAGAAGGCACAGTTACGATGCACTTTTGAGCTTCCGCTACCGGCAAAGATGAAGGATTTGAAAAGGTGGCTTTTAGAGGCCGAGCGCTGTAAGTATACTGTCTCCTCCGGTCGCTGTGAGTGAGAAACTGCTTCATCTGTCACCTCCAGCACGAGCTTGTCATCCTTTTCATGAAAATACACTTGACTTCCCCTCTGTGTTACTCACCGCACTCTGTCTCGCTCCATTGAGACCAAGTCATTTAGCTCTGAGAGGAGGAACATGCCTCTAAGGAGGCAGGTGCTAACTAAAGGAACCTAAGTGCATTAGATATTTCATTAGCTAGGGAGAGAGTGGGCTGCTGGAAGCCGTTTCATAATCGGCTGCCTCACATTTGTTTTTAAAGAAACAACAGTGTTGTCTTTTCCGAGGCACTTACACAGACTTTACAATGATGAAAGATTTTCATTTGCCGGCAATTACCTAAAGTGTTTTGGTTCTGCCATTTAAAATGTGACTATGATCAGAGATCCATGAAGCTGTCAGCAGCAGCAGCGTGTTGCCTTTATTTATCAGTGCTGAGCAGTGGTAGAAAATGTTTTATCTTCCTCTGTAAAAAAGTATTTCACCATGTGAATTGCTCAGATCTGGGAACACAGCCGCGTTTCTGAGAATGTCTATTTCAACCGGAATCATTTGAAATAACGAACACACACACAGTTTTTGGTGGTTTGTATCACCTCCAACTGAAGTGGTTTCAATACTCTGGCCCAGGTGTTGGCTTGTTTACAACCTTTGGAAAGTGTTTTTGTTCATGCAACCATCTTGTATCAATGGGCCTGAGTTCACATATCTAGGAACTACTTTGTGCCGTGTAATCATGGCAATAATAAGTTGTGAAAAAAGGGAATTTTCCTTTAGATATAAAAACTAGCTGCATCGTCTTTGTGATTTTTGGAGTTTATCATCAGATCTTTAATCCAATCAATGTGTGACGGTTCCTAATTGCCACTAAAGGTTATTCGGCATGAGACATCAACTGTTTTTCTTTTCAGATTAGTCTTTTTATCCAAGTTTAACCTTCATATGTAGATTTTTCAGATGGACAAAAATAATCAGAGGGAATCCAAGTGAGTGGATTAGTAACAGAAGTTTAGTTTTTCAATGAAGATACTCCAAGTTCCTTCTCTCCGATGATTACATGTCAGCGGATGCGGTAGGTAGGACTGATTTATCCCTTTATCTTTCATCTCTCTCTTCGCTAGTCTGGTGGCATGTTTCGCATCATCTTCTTTCCTATCCGCGACACTCTGATCGCATTCTTTAAGTCAAGGAGAAATCAAATTGAGACGGAGACTTTGTCATTTGTATGCAAAGAGAACGCCGCCGCTATCTCCCCAATATGAGAGCCATCCAGTGCAATTTGACCATCATTGGGAGAAATGTGAGTAATCTCTCGCACCATGCATCCCATATGATGGATGGTGTTTAACTTTGACAGAGAGAGACACACCGAGAAGCCAGTATATGTGTGTGTGTGTGTGTGTGTGTGTGTGTGTGTGTGTGTTTTAGTAGCACATGTAGCCGAGTGCATTCATGCATATCAATGTGTGCTGCTGCTCCCGCTGTGTTTGTGTTCTTGCTTCAGCAATCGGACATGCTGATTTGGAAAGGGGGAAAGCAGGAAGTATTGATACAGGAAGCTAGATGTGGTCATGTGAAACTCAATGTTTGCAAGCCTGCCAGACACAAGTGGTTATCTTTGCATGAGATGACCCACAATCTCTCGAGGGTCACACATATGCTGTACACTTTTGCAGTTTCAATCAGCGGTCAAGTTTTACCAAGCCTTCCAGAAGTTACCTTGAGTTTTGCAGTTCCATATGTTTTCAATTTAGCCGGGTATTTAATATTCACGATCATATAAATGATTGCAGCTGGAGTTCATTTGAATGCACCGCTGCTAATTCAAATGTAAAGCTGCTCTTTAAAACATGGATTCTAGAAGCAACGGACTGTCAATTGCAAAGTGCTCTGCCAACGTGAAATCTTTAAACACGGAGTCTTCCAAAAAAGGATGTCATATACATTCATTTGGTCAAAATAAACCCTGGATTCATATTTTTTTTGATTTGTTTTTGTTTTGTTTTGATTTTGATATACTTTATTAATCCCCGTGGGGAAATTGTTTCTCTGCATTTGACCCATCCTAGTGTTAGGAGCAGTGTGCTGCCATTTTGATCGGCCATTTTGAACATTGTATAGTCAAAATATGTCCTCTTTATACAACGTTTTTTTGCCCCAATGTAATTGCCTGAAACAAATATCAATATATTCATCCAATCATTCAACCCTAGTCTCTGCTCTGCATTATTTTCTTAAAGGAGCTACGATGCTAATTTTCAGGTTCATATTTGTATGTAGTGTCTCTACTGGGACATGTTTCCATGCTTTAATGTTCACAAAGCTCTTTATCTTTCTCATACTGCCTGTGCTGCAGCACCTCTTTTCACCCTCTGTCTGAAACCAGAGCCCAGTCTGCTCTGATTGGTTAGCTGGCCGGCTCTGATGTGATTGGTCAACTGCTTAGAGATGTCCCCCTCCCTTAGCATATCACGTACAATGTGTTGGAGAGCTAGCCAATAGAGGCATGTGTTAGGAAGTGATGCCACTATGTTATGGAAGTAAACAAAGGAGCCCAATGGGGACACAGGGATTTTAGCCCTTTGCGCACCATTTACATGCACTATAAGAAACACACAAAATCATGATATGTCCTCTTTAATTATTATAAAACAGTGTTTAGGGCTCACAGCTTTCTGAGTTAACTATATATTTATACTATATTTAATATGCAAACTATGGAAATATATTCCGCACTCTCTAGTATCTGTCTGTTTGCACTCATGCATTGTCCTTTTTATAGAAAGCACATAAGAAAATAGAGCACAGAGACAGGAACGGCATTAACGGCGGTCGGGGCAGAGAAATCATCCGTCTCAATCTTCTTTCCATCTTAGTGATTGAGAGACGTGATCTCTCCGTCTCCACCGACTCCCCTTATTTAAATGCCAGCGCTACGCTAATGCTAACCGCCATTGAATCACTCACATAGCGCAACACGGACTGTCCGTATGCTAATGTAGAAATGTACCTGTCTGCACCCACGGACGAGTTCCTCCAGCAGTGTGTGTGGGTGTGGGTGTGTGTGTGTGTGTGTGGGTGTGTGTGTGTGTGTGTGTGTGTGTGTGTGTGTGTGTGTGGGTGTGTGTGTGGGTGGGTGTGTGTGTGGGTGGGGGGGGGAGGCAACGAGTCTCTGCGGAGAATTCTGCGGAGTTCAATATGTAATGAAAAGCTTCTCCTGGCCACTGAGCACTTGACCTTGCCTCGGCTGCCTTAGCGACAGACATGCTTACAGTACGTAGGCCTACGTCACCTCCACCCCAATGAGCTTTTTATACCACCCCTCCCCTCCCTACACCCGCCAATGCAAAAGTCGGGGAGGCAGAACGAGAGCGAGACAAAGACAGAGATGA